CGACGAAATTACTCTGGAAATCGCGTGCGTGCCGATCCCTCACAGAAGGAAAAAACGAAAAACAAATAGGAAAATGAAAACATAGCTTCGGCCGACGTCGCGTGAAACGCACGTTCGAGTGGGCGTTGCCCTTTAATATCAGAATTAGACGAAGGACGAACGTGTCCTCGCTGGCTGACACGTCGATTAGCCCGGCAGTTATTTTATGTCGCGCACCTGGTAGCTTCCGGCACTCTTTCCGGGGACAAAGTCGCGTGATACCGGCTGTTAAGCTGGAATCACACGACGCACGATCTCATGCCTTCTTCACGTGCATGCTGGCCGGCAGTTCAGTTCGCTGGGTAAAGCTGGGATCACACGATACACGATTTCATGCCTTCTGACATGCACATGCTGACCGGCAGCTCAGCTCACTGCATAGATCTTCCGATGCACGATAGCGACTCGAACAGTGAACTGAACTGCCGACGATCAGCATGCACGTGAGAAGGCGTGAAATCATGCATCGTGTGATTCCAGCTTAAATCGCTATCGTGTATTGGAAGATTTATACAGAGGAACTCTTACAGAAAAGTATTACTGGGTGGTCGGTAATAAATTATTGTCGCTCAGTAGTTTCTATTATTAGTGACTAATAATCTTGAGTACTTAAATAATAAGATAGATAAATATCAATTTTTTCATGATTAGTGTGAATGCTTGTTTCATATCTTGTTTCATATCTTGCATTTTTCAAATTAACTTATAGTTTGCTCTCGTTCGTTATAATGTTCAGTTAAAAATCTAATAGCAATCATGTCGTTAATGGTTCGCTGATATATTATAATAATAATTACTAGTCACACTTCGATTACTGTTACATCATTTGCATCATCTATCAATAAATATGCCATTACAATGTTGTTTGAACGATACAAGAGCATATTATAAGCATAATCCCAGTCGTCACAGCTCATTGGCACTATGACTTCCAGTTCGCGATTATTCAGGTTAAGCAGCGAATAGCGTGGTATGAGAAAGAATGAGTGCCGCTGCAGTATCGAAATCGCGCATCGTTGCGATGCGCACGTAAAATATGAAATAAATTTTTTTTTATTTAAACAAAATGAGCTTTTTTATTAACGTAAAATATGAAATAAATTTTTTTTTATTTAAACAAATATTAGCTTGTCTGAACCACTCTAATAAGTCAATTTGTGGAAATTAAAAAAAAATGTATTATAGTAATTTGTCAAATAATCATTGAATCACTGAAAAGTGATTAATCATTACTGTTTTTTTAGTAATTACCAGTAATACTTTTCTGTAAAGAAACTGAGTTGTCGATGTGCATGTCAAAGCATCAATCGTGAATCTTTTCACGTAAACTCGATTTTACTTATCAATCATGTGATTTGTTTCACTAATATGAAAATGATGAAAACTGAATAAGTTTGCAGTACTTGGAGACGCGATCACGAAACTTTTCCTCCAATATCGTGAAAAGTGAACATTCCCATATATTTTTAAGGTTAGATTTTTCACTCTTCGCGAATTCACATTAAAGTATCAATCATAAGTCTCTTCATGTAAACTTGATCTTATTTATAATTACACTTACGTGTAATTTTCTCCCTAATATGAAATTGTAAAGAGTGAATGATTTTGAAGTACTTGGAGACGATCATAAATATTTTCCTCATATGTAAAATCATAAAAAATGAGCATTTTCATATATTTTTGAGTGAGGGTTTCCAATTTTCTTGAGTTCACACTAGCAAAAGAGATTCATGATTGATGCCCGAAATCGTGTGATCGCAGCTTTAGATACGGAAGTAGTGACGTCAGTGGGAAACGAATGACGACTTGTACATTTTGGAGTGCATGATAACTAAAATGAATTGTAACGCAAAATTTCAGACGTCCACTTTTGACACTTCGTTCACTCGAAGAGATGCGTCATCCACTGTCACTATAAATCGCTCGATATGGAAAAAAATATGACTTATATCACCGTAGTGATATATAGCGCGGTCCACTGTATATTTCACGAGATTAAATCTCGTTTTGTTCGCGCAGGCGATCATTTTTGGCCAATATGCCCTTTGACGCGCTCGACGTCACGTGTCATCGAGTGCGCAGGGGACTAGCGGAATTTTCGCCGTAACGAATATTCGATTGAGACGATTAATTCCGCGGATATCGTTTCCGCTGGCAATCGATTGCGGCGTAGTATTTTTGCCAAATACGTTTTAGCCGAAAGAGCCGGGTGGTAACGTGGTGTAACGGGAGTAATAATACGAGCGACGAGCGCGCGATCGAAGTAACGAAATAAACGTCGGGCTCTCGGCACTTGCGAAATTGGATATTTCCATATCGAAGCGGTCGTAAGGACTGGCCTAGTGGTTTGTTTTAAACGCGAACGCGACGACGGCCGCTGACACACGCGGTCTGACAACTCCTGCAAACAATGCTGTTTGATTAACTGCAAGCTGCGTTAGCATAATTGCGTGCGAATCTGGATTTGTACCTGTGAGCCGCGTGACCGAAATGGTAAACGGCGCCATGCTCTGTAATAATTTCGGTTCGACACACTGCCAAATTATATTATTTTAGTACTCTCTCCTTCTCTCTCTCTCTCTCTCTCTCTCTCTCTCTCTCTCTCTCTCTTTCTAGATGTAAAAGCACAGGATGCACAGCGCTTTGTTGACCCGATCTCTGATTTCATAGCGAGGATTGTGATTCCATTTTACAAATTATTTGACGATATGTACCATGTAAATTGGATAATAGTCACCAAATTTTAGCAGCATATACCAAGCTTTGGTAAGGTTATTTCTTAATATTTTCCAAATTATTTGATTATATTTATCTGCATATGTTTAGTTCGAATTACTTCACCAAAACTATTTCCGTTAACTATTATATTATCCAGGCTTGAGATATCTGCTAAAAAGATTATTACTAAATCCTTTTATATTAGTGCAGGTGTTTTTCCCCGAGTTTTATTACAACTGGAATAATACTGCAGTTAAAGACTAGAAAAAAACTGATTTAGAAGCCGCCGAGGATTTCGTATACGGCCTTCTTAATCTAGATTGCTGGCTAACTTGACACGCTAGCAGGGCAAGATGGCCACACGGCGTTCGCGTTTCGGTTATTACAGAGCAGATGTACGATCTTACGGGATCGTCGCTGGCATAAAGATGTGGAGAAAGGTTGCCTCCATCATACCTGTCAATCACAACGATTAGCTGTCTGAGAAGTCGCAAACTCTAAAGCATTTTTCCCTGATCCCCGCTGCGAACCGCGTGCCTTGTAATTGTCCGTCGTGTCAGATGGCTCGATCACGGAGCCATCGCTCTCGAAGTAAGCAATTAATCCACTAAGTAATTGACAGCTATATCGATTATATCAGACGATTGTAACTGCGGAGACGTTGGTATTTGTTTCCGGCTTCCGCGTTGGATCCTCGCGCCCCGCGACATTCTCTCTCTCTCTTTCTCTGTCTATCTGTCTATCTGTCTGTCTCTCTCCCCTCTACTGCAGCGCTCCCGCTCAGAAACACTTCAACTTGTGATTAGCATAATAGCACCGCTCCGTAACGTGCGCGCGATCGATCGGCTATGAGACTAATTCACAGCCTATAGGCAGGCGCTGCCGATCGATAGGCCCGGCCAGTAAACCGCGGTTTTACTGCAGCGACATGACTTTACACTTTGTAGCATTACGTTTGACGAATTAATGTTATTATGTGATCACGTTTGAGGATATCTCGTTTGCGGCGAGGCGGCGCGCCTGATAATTACGTCGTGTCGCCAGTCGGCGTTTAAAGGTCCATCTACAATGAGATTGGCGGTAGGCAGTAAGACGTTAGCAATAAAGCAAATTGGCCGACCACAGTTGATTATTCCTGTAATAATCCTGTAATAATCGACCGTGATTGGTCAATTTGCTTACTGTTCACGACTTACTACTTACTGCCAATCCCACTCTTGGCTCTTAAATACACACACATCACGTGTAAACGAGGACGCTCCTCGAAGCCGGGAAAAATCTCACAAGGGACAGTTCTCTTTTATCTGGAGCCAAATAAATCAATTTTGCTGATGAGTTCACAGACGTAATCCTCGCTCTCAACTTATTAAAACGTTTTTTATTGATTGGTACTAAAATTTATTTATTTGGTTCAAAATAAATAAATTTATTTATTTATTCGGACAAAAGAGAACGGCCTCTTGTCAACAACCGCTGAATCTTTAACGTTTCCAACAACACATCATCAATCATGCACATGATCATCATTCATCATTTAAACACTATTACTCAAAATCATCATTCAAACGTTATTACTCAAGATCATCATTCAAACATATGCAAGAATAAATGAACCGAATTTATAATTGAAAATGCACAAAACTCCGCGTGTCGAGCATTTCACGCCGTGTATCGTGACACGCGCGACAGAAAAGATCCGCACAGGAGTCCACATTATACCGTGAAAATGGTCCGTCTTATCTTGATTTCTACTCTGCACGAGATTTTTCTCCCCAAGACTGGACCTTATGCCTAGGGCGCAAAGGAGCAGTGAGGTTACCCTTAGGTCGATTATAACTTTCGTACTTCGCCGACACAGTAAGAAAGCGAGATGTAAGATTCCCCCGCGGAATGAAAACTGCATCGGAAAGACTTTCGTTCCGAAGAACATCCCGGGCACTTTAGAAGACCGCTATTCGTTTTACGATTGTCGAGGTCGGGATCCTCGGTTTCCAACAAATAAAAATGACATTACGTTGATTGGTATTGATCGACGTGAGAAATCCAGGACTAATAACGCGCACGATTGAAGTCGAGCAAATCTCGACGTGGAGTTGTCGACAGGCCAAGATTTCACATAAGATTCTGAATCGTTCTCGACACCCCGCGTGCACAAATCAGCGAGGCGCGACAACACGTCTGATGCAGCCGTGGCTGTTATCTTCCGTTCCGTTAATTTCTGCCCTGTTCTTTTGGAATTGCAGTTGCATCTCCGCCGGACAGACGAGTCACGAGGGATGATATCGGAGTGGCCTCGGCCGGTGTAGCGGCGAACGCGAACGAAGCTACCGGCTGCAGCAGCGGCGCGACGACCTCAAGGCCGCGCAATCCCTCTTCACCCGGTCGGAACGGCCAACTCCCCAGTAAGTTTTTCGAGGTATTACCCCCCGGGATACCCTTCAGCAGCCGGTCTCTACCGTACGCATCTGCCCGTACGAGTTTACCGACCAGATCCGCGCGCGCGCGCGGATTCCGAAATCACACACCACTAAAGTGCTCGAGTTTCTCGGCAGTTCTACAAACTGCGAACAAATTGTTCGTGCGAGTTGACGAAGGAGAGTTCCCCTGGCAGAGATCTACGCAGTTTGCGTAGATAGACATTCGTCCAATTATTGTTTAATGTTGATGTATTCTCACTAATTGTAAAAGTACTGCGCAGAAACTACACAAGAACTTGGTAGAGCTTTGCTCAGTAGTTGGGAAACAATTCATTGAACAATATAGATCGACCAATTCTTTTCAAGACACAGTATTAATAATATTAATTCAATTTTATGATGTGACGTTTGTTACTTTGGCACTTTGTTATCAATGAACTAAATAATCTTTTGCTCTGTTTTCGTTCAGTGAAAATTCAGATTTTGCGCAGCTTTCGTGCGCGGTAACTGCGTTGCATCTTGATCGGTATCCCATGTAGTTTCACACTCTTTACGATTATTAGACGTTACTAGACAACTAGCGGTTAATAGACAAAAGTGAACGCGACTGTCCGGTGACTGCTCGAGAACTGCATTAAGTTTCCATTAAGATCGATGCGCTTCGAGAATTACCATGACTTGGTGAAATGTAGGAGACCACGAGGGAAAATACATAAGCAAATACTCGAATATTTATCTCGAGCACTCAACAAATTAATTGGATCCTCCGTCAACCGTAAAACATTCTTCCTTTTTTCTCGCGAGACGGGAGAAAATAATTAGCGTCGCCACGTCGCGACGCGTCGCACTCTTTGACTTGAGGAAAACTCTGACCGATTTAACCTACCGCGCGCAGCTCCGTTGCAATCGTATTAATCGTAGCAATTGTGCTCATTGTGTTTCAGAACAGGGCACTTTGACGATAGTACGCCGAAGCTCCGGCAAAAGCAAAAGCATCGCCGCTGGGAGTTTCGAAAGTTCCCCACCGCCGCACAATCCCGACGCGAGCTATTTATCGAGCCAATCCGTTGACCTCGACGAGATCCTCGACAATGTCGATCTCACGACGGACTCGCTCCCTGCCGTTGACACCCCCGATGCGTGCGACAAAGCTGCCCTCAGGTATCATATCGCAAGTGTTAGTGGCTCTCGTGAACGCGACATTCACGATCGAAAACAGCTTCTCCACTCTCTTAAAATGAATCAGTCGGACATCACTGAAAACAGTAAATGTACACTGATTGACTGAAAGTGCTCAGTGCTATACTCATAACTGATATCAGTGACTATTCACTGATTCACTTTAACCCTTTATAAGGCAAGACTCCTTGGATATGACAATATTTTTCTTTTGAACTTCATTAAAATAGTCCTTTAGAGATGTTTTAATATCATTTTTGAGACTGAAAAAAAGTTTTGATAAGAGATATCGACCGGTATAACTGTTGTACCAGTGACCACTCAGGGAAAGCGTTTAGAACCACTCCCGATTCTTTCGGCCAATTCTGTGCTGCTGATACTTATGTAGCAATGGCCTGTAAAGGGTTAAGAGAGCAAGTGACGTAATTTATCTCCGATCGCGCGCTGATAACGAAAGGCTCGATACGCGTCGTCCTTGAACAATTGAGACTTCCGCCCTTCAGCCGAATCAAGCAGACACACCTTCGTCGGGCGACGTTACATAATTACCACGCTGGTGACGATTACGATCCGCAAATTGTAGCCACGTGATATTACACATATCGGCGCGTGACAAATAATGACCCGTAATTATTAACCGTTCCGAGATGAAATACATCACACGCAGCCTGCAATTTGCATATCGTTTGTGTATTAATCACACGATCAGCCGCTGTAATACGCGACGTTTCGTTTGCCTCTTTCGCGGTGAATATTTTATATCGAACGCTCGCGCACTGTGCCACTGTGGAAATCTCGCTCGCGCGCGCCACGCTAGAATACACGGCCCTTTGAGCCCTGAAGGGTTAAGCAGAATTGCGTTGGCAATCTCGACTTGTCGCGCAATTATCGGAAAGCGATCGGACGCGAACGTCTAGTTTAGAAAGCGGATTATTGGCGTGGCAAGAGGCAACTCTCCGGGATATAACTCTTTTGCAGACTGAGGTGTTTATTGAGGCAACTACAACATGGGGAAATATCCGCCGAACTGCTCCAACGAAACCTGCACTACGCAGCGCGCGTACTCGAGGCCGTTTTTATCGACGAGACCAAGTAAGTTTCTTTCCGAAGCGGAGATCCTCCGTTGTCTCTTTCTAACTTTATATAACATATTTATCTATCTGTCTATCTATCTATCTCTCTCTCTACATATATATCTCTCTTACAAACGGTATATATTAATTGTTAACCAGAGACTAACTGCTACTCTAAGTATTACTCTTTTACTTGCCGAAATTTTCAGGCACCGCCGACACATCTCCCCGGACTAAAAAAAGCCCTCGCGATAAAATAATAAGTGTACTTCTCTTTTTTATAGGCAATGCGTCGATATCGATAATTGTCGCACGCGACAAGGACGAAATCGACTCGCGGTGGTGGTGTGCGATTCGCTCATATGTCGTAGAGCACTTGTGTTGTGTCGATTGGACGTGTACGTGTCTCACGTGTGAACACGCTCCGTATAAGCGGCAACGAAAACGGCGAAACATCCGATTATTGATTGACATTCCGGAAAGGTCTGGCTTTTCCTGCGACTAGTGGCGGTTGTTCACAGTTTTAACCGCAAAGTTCTCTTTTGGAGTCATTCAATGCAGGCAAGAAGTTTAACTACAATGCATGGCCGCAATAAAAAATCAGATCTTTCTTTTTCCAGAGTATCAATGGCTATGATATTAATGGTTGTCACCTGAAACTTGTTTCACGTGAGATACTCAAGTTTTTATTCAAAATCAGATTCAAGTTTCTCAGCTGAATTATAATATATGGGATATTTATGTAGTCTGTAATCTTTCTCTCGCTCTCTCTTTCTCTCTCGCGATTCAAGGAAAACTCTCATCTAACTCTGAATTCAAACCTAAGTGTCTCACGTGAGACAAGGTTCAAGTAATGACTATTAATACGAAACTGAGAACTGTTACTTGAAACTTGTCTCAGACCCTTACTATTGTCATCTGAGACTTGTCTCATGTGAGATATTCAGATTTTTATTCAGAGTTAGATCCAAGTTTCTCAGATGAATTACGAGATATGTAATGTTTATGATCGCGATTCTACTGAAAAGCTTTCATTTAACTCTGAATTCAAGTCGAAGTATCTCACTTGAGTTAATTTTAAGTAATAGCTATTAATATTGATCTTAGATTTGAATTTAGAGTGAGATGTGAATTTTTAACTCGCCATTACTTATTGCAACGTCGTGTGTGCTATATGATTCATAAATGAAAAACTCACATTTAACTCTCAACTCAGATCTGAATATTTCAAGTCTATAACAAGTTTCGACTTGGATCAAGTAACAACTATTGATGCGCATCTCAGTATCTCACTTGAGTTTCACGTAATAACTATTAATAATAATCTAAGGGGATGTCAATAATTGGATATTTCGAGCCTGTTTCATATCGACGGTGCAGACAATCGTTCACAGGGGACGCCATTTTTTTGGGCAGCAGCTTCAATTATTAATTCACGGTCTATTTCGCGATCGGCGCGGGGTCGCGGTGTGACTTTTGAACGGCGCGCGATTTGTCACTCGCAGCGCGCGCTACTCAAATTCGACGCGCCCGGGTTGCGTAATAAGAGACCCTCGCTCTCGCGATGCGTCGTGCCGGATGAAACTCACAACCCCTGTCCAATTACTTGGCGATCAAAGAGACGGAACAAAGGCTCCCGCCGCCTGAATCGCGCACGAGCGAGATCAATCGACCGGTATGAATATATGCGCGCACCAGCAACAGCAACACCAGCAACGAGAGCGTCGATGCTTCCTATTGAATGTTACAACGTTAACGAGCTTCTGCGGGGATCACTCCTGTGGATTCACCGAAGCGAGGTAGACATCGACGCCTCTTTAGCTCAGTGGTAGAGCACTGGTCTCGTAAACCAGGGGTCGTGAGTTCAATCCTCACAGGAGGCAGGTGAATTTTTGTTTTTCGTGCGGCTCCCTCGTTAATCGAGCTTCCGCTTGACACGTACGTGTCTTACAATCTCGTACGTTATTACGTCCTCGATGGCAGTTTAATGATGATCCGCGCGCTTCAAAAGAGATCTGTCAACAGCTATCACAGCTGCCTCGTAAATCTCTTACTTACGCGTATCTCTTTCACGTTATAAGAGTAATACCCGCCGTGTGATTTTACGATTTTGCAAAATTGCACTTTCGATATATATCCCAGTGCGCGCATCTCGCGCATTTTCGCAACGCACGTATACGATTCGTGACGGACAGCTAGCGGCGAAAAAGTCGCATTTATTCCTTCATCGTCATGTTCCGCGGCGTTTCTTTTCTCTTTTTGTCATTCGCGCGACGCACATGCGACCAGGTGCATCGCCGTGCATCGAGCGCGTGAAAATTGCAGCACGCGCGGCCGGCCACACGCACTTTGCGTACAATGGGTTAGACGCAAAGCGGCCTAGGCACAATAGACCTGTTCGTTTTAACTGCTTAAACTGCAGTAAATTAGAGTGAAATAAATTAGAGTGAAATATACTCGTCTTATTTTAAATTATTGCACCAGTTCAGACAGTTTAGCCAAAAAGAATAGACTTTATAATGTTGGCAGCTCCGCGAACTGTCAAAGTTGAGAGTCATTACGGACATTTACACAATAATAATATAATTAAAAACATTAAGTGATGTAGTAAATAATAATACTAATAATGATAATTAATAGTAGGCAAATCCGTCAGTAATGACTTTCAATTTTGACAGTCTGGTGAACGGCCAATTTCATTGTGTCTAAGCCGTTTTGCAACCCAATGGTACGTACATCTTCATGCCGAGAGCTTTCCCCGAGCTTGATCGCTTGATCCTCCCCTTTCTGATTTTTCTTTCTTCACACTCGCGCACCTGCAACTGTACGAATGCATAATTGCGACGGGAGGACACGATTCACCCCGCGGCCGCTTGAGTTGGCACCGCAACCCCTCGTCCCCGACGGCACCATCGATTTCGGCTGACCGTCGGGAACACTGTGCAGCCGTAAAGCACGACGTATTGAATATAAGCTCCCACCTTTTTCTTTGTTCGTTCCATTAGATCTTTAAGCAGTGTATGCACTCATACCGAAAGAGGAGACCCGTCAATAAGCGAGCGCAGCGGAGTACGGCGTGTCGCAGCCGCGATTGCCGAGGGCGACCAAAAGAAAGAAAGCGATACATAGCAAAAAAAAAAGAATGAAAAAGAGAGAACAAAGAAACAAACTATAATCTTGTATTGTCCTGATCTTTTTTTACACATGAACTAACAAGCACTACCGCAGGGTGAGTTCAGGCGGGAATGAGTGCACTCGGTCATCACGTAGGGGGGCGGGCCTGACGTCTTCATCCCTAGGGGGCGGCTTGGACCCGGACGGACCACAGGGCCACGCCGTGGTAACCCAGAAACGGAAGCTTCGCACCCCCGTATGGGCAAGGTTGCGAAACATTCACATTTCCGACCCCCGTTATACGACCCCTTTCGTCACCAACACATCCTCCTTACCTCTGGACTCGACCCTGTGTTCTTCCCTTTCCCTCCACCCTCACTATCCTTCAACTAACCAACCTATATATTCACTCCATCGATTCTCCGCCGTCCGTATCCGTGCCGTCGACGCTCTTTGTCGTCCTCTTTGCCGAACGATAGGTTCACGCGTCTCGAAAGTCGAAAACGATCGTCGCTGACCGCGGTGGTGAGCGACAAGCTTGGATCCTGCTTCTGATTCACGCGATCATAATACTTTTACAAGTTGTTGCGCTTTACATACAGGTCAGTGCAACCTGCGTTCCGCTGGCAGGCGCGTGTAATCTTGCGCGATCTCAGTGGGCGGAATGCTTCCCCGCTTCTAACGTTTATGGTAAAAGTTTAAGATAATAGTACCCGGACATGTACCTAATCCTAGACATTCGTTTTAAAATATAAATATCTAAACTTTCAACATAAAAAATAATATATACAAGTATTAATATACACATACATTCTGTGTTAAGAGTTTAATATTTGCACTTGAAGACCAAAGTAATAAGAACGTTCAGGATTAGTGTTGCATTTCAAAGTGTCCTACGGAAAATTTTATTCAATATCTATAATTCACGTTACACATACTATCGAGTGAAATTTCCTCAAAAAAGACGTTTTTGAAATGCAATCTAGGCACGTATCCAGGAACTTTTATCTTACGTTCCAAATGAGCATTCCGCCCTACTGAGTGTGCGCCCAACTACGCGCGTCTGCCAGCGGATAGGTAACCCCCTCGCACTGGCCTATATATGAGCGCAACACCCTGTATACCCGGTGTATCAAGGCGAATGAACGGTATTTCACTTTTCGCGCAGGTTAACGCTCCTTACTTGGCCGTGGAATCAATTAATTCGATCAGTATTGTTCGTTTCCCATCCCCTTCGATCGCTCGGCAGCGCCGTTCGCGACGAGAGCGATCTCCACCGATCATCGGTTACGCGTGAAATTGATCCATCGCCATTACTCCGTACGCGCGCGGCACCGACTCGTCGAGTAATTAAAAATATCGGCGAATGTCGTTAAATGTCAGGATGCCGCTGCCGAGTATCGACATCCGGCAAGCGTTGCTCAACAGCCCCGTGGAGGATCGGGAAATTTGCTGTGACTTAGTAATTAGGAGAGCTCGGGGGCAATTATTACAGAGGGGGGAGAGGGAGTCACTTAACAGCGGTGATAACTCGAGACTCCAGTCGTGCGCGATGATTCCGGGACGAGCAAACGTAAATGATTCGTGGACGGGCGAAATGTACCGGGGATTTCTAATTTCGTGCGAAAGTTGGGTGATTCGCAGCGCAAATTCGATTCCCGCTGTTTCATTCCACGTGTCATTCAGTATTTTTTATACGATATTTTATTATTTGCTTTCCAGCGACCGTTCCTCGGTGTTCGTTCGACCGCTAAATGTCAAACTGCCAATACTCATCGGCGACGCGAATTTTGCGCGCGTGAGTCGCGTGACTGACAGCCAATCAGCCCGGCGGAAAAGCAACAGCAATACTTGCCAGATACTCCGTCCCTTTTGAGCGCTGGATAAAAATTTTTGTTAAAATCGTTACGCTTGACTCCGAGCTCTCCGATATTAAACGGACGATTTGCGCGAAATATCAACGGACCGAATCTGACATTTCTAGTTCTGTTCTCCCTGTGGAGCGTCAGGCGCGAGCGTTTTCCCTCGAAGATTTCGCTCAATGATACGCTGTCCGGATTGTCGCTCTCCCCCGTCAAGCACGACGATCGTGCCGTAGGCCAATAGATGGAATATGCGAACGTTACGTTATCTTCTAGTCGATACATATACTTAGCTTCCCCCTATACATTGTTTCTCTAGTCTAGTTTATGCGCACAGAAACTGAAACGCATTACAACGTAGCTGCCGTGCGTTCTTCCTCCGACATAAGCCTGAATATCTGAGTCAAGTAGTTGAAACGTTCAAAAGTCGCTCAACAGTGGCTGTTCGATCGTTGTGCACTTTTATTCTGTGTAGACGCCACATAGAATATACACACACATGCTCGTTTCGCTGCGCGCGCGAGATCCGACGAGGTTTAGGCGGAGTTCGAGCGAGTAATCGGACGTAGAGAGCGAAACGGGAAATACGTTAGCCACCCTGTCTCTCGTGCTTCTATCGATTCATTTAATTTAATTTCCGCGTCCTGACCGCACACACTGACCTAGTCCGGCTGAACCAATCTAATCGAGACGAGATAATAAGAGGAGCGACTCCATGTCCGCGAAGAAAGAGACGACACTAACGGACACAGCATGAGAACGTTACATGCCTGCCTGTTCTCTCGCTCCTCCCTATGCTAGTCTACTTTTAGACTCTTTCTAGGTGTAACCTGCTCTCTCTCTGTCTCTCTGTCTTTCTCTCTGTCTGTCTCTTTCTCTCTCTCTCTCTCTCTCTCTCTCTCTCTCT